TCCACAAAGTCCATGGTGTTCTGTATGTGGTGTTCTGAGCTGCCAACTAAAGGGATGAGTACAGACGCCAGATATTTGGAAACATTGTAAGTGACAGAGTTAATCATGCTAACGATTGGTTTTAAAGGTACACCTTGTTTGTGGATTTTAGGTAAACCATACAGACTAGGTGTGGCCTCCCCTGGGTACAGTCTGTGGTACAGAAAACGGTCAATAGCCTTGTCCTGCTCCAAAATTTTCAGGCAATCTATCAATTTCTTCTTGTAACCACATCCTGGATCTCTTTTCAGAGGTTCATAAGTGTTTAAGTCACTAAGGAGTGTCATAACTTTCTCATGATAGTCTTTCTGGTTCACTGGTGCACAGTGATTTTGAACCAGAAAGACTGTGTTTTGTAGATTTCCTCGCTGACTTGACAAAAGCGAGGAAATCTACAAAACACACCAATAAACAGAAAAAGGAGAACAACAGATGTAAAAACATTGTCATCCCTTATGTTGCTGGAGTATCAGAGAAATTCAGAAGGATCTTCAACAAACACAAGATCCCAGTACATTTCAAACCCAGCAGGACTCTCAGACAGAGGCTGGTCCACCCTAAGGACAACACACCCATACACAAACAGAGTGGTGTAGTGTATGCGGTCCAGTGCAGCGAGGACTGTCCAGACCTCTACATTGGAGAAACTAAACAGCCTCTTCACAGACGCATGACTCAACACAGGAGAGCCACCTCCTCTGGACAAAATTCCGCAGTTCACCTCCACCTCACAGATAAGGGACACTCTTTTGAGGACCAAAATGTGCACATTTTGGACCGAGAACACAGATGGTTTGAGAGGGGGGGTGAAGGAAGCAATTTATGTAAAAAGAGAAAAGCCGTCTCTTAACAGAGGAGGAGCCCTCAGATTTCCACTTTCAAAAACATGTAATGCAACTTTAAAACAGATCCCCAGCCGGTTTTCACACCTGATGGGAACAGAGGGGCCTCGACTGTGAATTAGAGGAACAAAGACCTACTGTTTAGGTTTTTAGGTGTGAACTGCCAATCTACATATATGTGTGTGTGTGTGTGTGTGTGTGTCTTATGTGTGTGTGTGTCTTATCTCACTCAGCCTTATAACCTGTATCTCTCTCTCTCTGCTCTTTGAATTGAGAAAGCTCCTCGGATGAGGAGCGAAACGTCTTCTGTTACAAATAAAGTCCAGTTGTTTTTGTATTGAACGCTTTTTGAATTCATCATGTCCTGGATGACTGAGAATCTTCACCAGCATACATTTTTAACATTTTTCAAATTAGCATTTTAATGCTAATTATTTTTAATTAGCAAACTAGCTGTCAGCTAATAGACCTTTTTCACGCTTCCGGGTTTTAAAGCGGATGTGGTGTTAAACAACTTCCGGTGGCTATAGCGTTAGCATTAGCATTCGACAGTGAGAAAAATGGCTCAGTCTCGGCGCAATTTCTTTTGTTCAGTTCCTGGTTGTTCTTGTGGGGCAAGAAAACAACCATATCTGTCCTACCATGCTTTTCACGACGTACCCAGACCAAAGGAGGCAGTGGATCCAAGAGATCAGAAGAGATGATGGTCCCGACTTCTGCATGAAGCCAGGGAGCACTTGTATGTTGCCGGCATTTCACTCAGGAGGATTTTGTCTGCGGATCCACCACCAGCTGCCTTAAAGCTTGAGCTGATTCTTTCTCTTCACCTGGAATAATTCTCACAGAAAGCTAGCCAGGCAGAAGCTGCTACTGGAGTCCACGTGAAACTCACTTCACCTGGTGGCACATCCACCCACAGGTAAATATCACATTAAGACAGTACATTATAAACTTGTCATGTAAGTCATGGAGAGATCAAGTTACATGCACTGACTCACAAAATGTATTGATCTTCACGGAAATAATGTCAACAATAATAATACTAATGTCAATAAGCTCAATAAATGAAACAATCTTGCTAATCATATTTTATTTTGTGGTTTTACAGGTGACTCCCAGCTGTCCTCATTCTGCTCAGTCCTGCGTTGGTGGACTCTCACTCCTGCTTGAGTCACCATGATTAGTCAGTGTCTTACCTGAGAGAAGATTGGCTGACTGAACTAAAGGCTGGGGACATTTTCATCTATTTTTATATGTGAATGTGAGGCCCATGTTTGTTTGTTTTGTAATTCTTAAATATTATTCATATTTATTTTTGTTTACTTAATTTCATATTTATATTCCAGGTTGAAAGTGGCAGTCCAGTCTTGTGTTGGTTTCGTTCCACTTTGTCTTGTGCATCACAACTTGTGGGTGAATTTCTGCTCATGTTACCTTGAACCATCCTTTTGTCTTTTAGTTGACTGAACACTGGAAAGCCTCGGCCTTGGCTGAATATTTAAAAATCATTATTGCCCCCATTATCAATCAACCTTTATTTATACAGGTAAATCCCATTGAGCCTCGAGGACTCATTTACAAGAGAGACCTGATTTCAACAAAGAAAGATGACAACAATGGACAACAGCAACAACAAAACAGTTATAAAAAAGCATAGTACAGTTTTTTTTTTTTTTAACAAATAGGATGGCTAAAAGGAAAAGGTAACAAAACAAAAAACAGCTAGATTCCAAGACAAATGTAGAAAACTAAAAACAGGAACATGTCAGCATTGGTCCCTGCCAGGTGTCCAACAGATTCTTAAAGACACTTAGAGAGGTCAAGGTCGAGAGCTTCAAATCTTTTTGTAAGATGTTCCAGGAAACAGGAGTGGAATAGGAGAAGGCCCTTTTGCCTAGTTCAGTCCTCATTGAGGGAACACTGCATGTAATAATGTCCTGAGAGCGCACTCCGTAGCTGCACTCACGCAGAGACATGTAGGAGGAGATGTATGAAGGCAACAGACCAAGAAGTGATTTAAAGATGAAAATGTACCAGTGGGAGAGTCTGCGTGAAGTTAATGATGTCCAGTTAACCAGTGAATACAGTGTGCAGTGGTGGGTACGATAATCACAGCCAGTTATGAATCTTAGTGCACCATGATAGACAGCATCCAACATCTGCAAGGTTCTTGTAGGAGCGTTCATGTAAATAATATCACCATAATCAATTGAGGGAAGGAAAGTCACAGATACAAGGCGTTTTCTAGCATTCAGGGTTAGACAGGATCTGTTTCTGAAAAAGAAACCCAGTTTAACTTTCAGTTTCTTTACCAAGTTTTCCACATGGAGCTTAAAAGAGAGATGTGAGTCGACCAAGATACCTAAATATTTATAGGAATCAACAAACTCAATGGGGACACCATTTGAGGATAAAATCGGAGGAAGAACTGCTGGGACCAACTTCCTATTTGAAAAAAGCATCCCTTTGGTTTTGTCGGCATTTAGGACAAGTTTGAGGCAAAACAAATCAGTCTGGATAATGTTGAATGCAGATTTCAAAAGCTGGAAAGCCTTAGCAACAGTTTTAGCTTGACAATAAACAACTGTGTCGTCAGCATAGAAATGTATGGATGCATTAGGGATGTTTTTACCTACATTATGTATGTAGATTGTAAAGAGGGTGGGTCCTAAGACTGAGCCTTGTGGTACACCATTGTTGACTGTTAAATAACTGGAGGAAGTACCATTATGTTGAACACATTGCCTCCGGTCTGAAAGATAGTTAGAGAACCAACCAATAGTGTGTTCTGAGAAACCGATTTCTGAGAGTTTATGACACAAGATGTTATGATCCGTAGTGTCAAAAGCTTTAGACAGGTCTAAGAAAAGTGCAGCACAATAATCCTTAGCATCCAGTGCTTCAACAACGTCATTAAGAACCTTCAGTGAAGCAGTGGTTGTGCTGTGTTGTTTCCTGAAACCAGATTGATGTGGAGGTAAGATGTTAAATGAGTCCAGGTAATTTTTGATTTGAGAGTTTATCAGTTTTTCTAGAACCTTGGCTAAAATGCAGAGTTTAGAGATTGGTCGATAGTTGTTCAGTGAGGTGGGGTCTCCTCCCTTCAGCAAAGGAAGAACAAAGGCTGTTTTCCAAGTGTCTGGGATGGAGTTTTGTCTTATGGAGAGATTGAAGATGTGGGTCACAGGGACTGTGATGATATGAGCAGCCAGCCTTAAGAAATAAGGTGGAAGTTCATCTGGACCTGCAGATTTTTTAGGATCAAGATCTTTTAACAGTTTATTGACCTCACTGACTGAGAATGGAGAAAAAGAGAAGCTGTGATTAACTGAGGATTGACTTGTAGGAGGGATTTGATTTGTAGAAGTTTGGTTATTAAGTGAAGTGGCTGATTTTCCATTAGTAACTGTGTCAAATAAAGAACTAGAAGCAACAAAATGTTTGTTGAAACAGTTCAGGATCTCGTGCTTATTTGACACAGGAACAGAGTTAATGAGAAGTTGTGATGGGAGGTCAGATGATTAGGGGGTGCCTGAGAGAGATTTGATGGTTTTCCAGAATCTGTTAGGGTCATTTAGATTTTTGGAGGTCTGAGATAAGAAATAGTTGCGTTTTGCTGCTTTAACAGCAGTTGTGCATTTATTCCTCATCTGTCGAAAACTCAACCAATCAGTATCTGAGCCAGATTTTCTCGCTGCGGCCCAAAGATTATCTCTCCTGTGCAGGAGGTCAGCTAGCTCTTGAGTAAACCAGGGGCTGTCTTGTCCCTTTATTCTGAACTGACGAAAAGGAGCATGTATGTTCAGGAAATAAATGAAA